TGGTTCCCGTGAGATCAGAGAACGGCAGGATGGCCCTGATGGATCTCACAGCTCCCTTCCTGTTCTCTGGAGACAAAAGATATTATGGGTAAGAGGACAGGCGTACATACTTCATTTTAAACTCCCCTGGTATTCAGTGTGTACATCTCTCGTCGTGTAAACACTGTTTGACAAACCCCAGGGAAGGATGCGATCACGTCTGTGTTTAAATTTGAGTTTGTGTGCGTGTCTCAGGTGTAAGCGGTGCTCTCTGAACACGTTTGAAAACCATGTGTTTACTGGAGTGGAGACCTATGATGGACAGGCGGTTGCTGAAGGTATCATTTTGGCCTAATTATGCCTATTTATTATGCCTTATTTTTATGATATTTTTATTATTCAACATTTCTCTTATCTAACTTCTGCACTGTCAAAGCAATTAATACAGCAATCAAAACACAAAATATGCACCATATTTTCAGATAACTTTTTAAAATTCAAATTGACATCAAAATGTTTATAATGTATATAATACATTTATAATGTAAAATGTATATAATTTAATAAAATAAATGACTAATTTACCCAGTATAAGAAAATGTATATTAACTAAGAACAAATTTCTATAGGTGCCACATGAAACACAGATTTTTTTAATGTCAGTTTCTGTTCTTAATTCTAACATTCTTAATGACTCATTCATAAAGAAAAAATGTATGTATTATTTCATCACTTTTTAACACATTAGTTTATTTAAATTTTTTCTACTTCATATTAAAATTACAATTTTGCATCATGTTTGCTACCTCAATTCAATTTCAAGAATTGAAAACTACATTCTCAGTTCAGTTCTGAATGGCTCAACCCTAATGAAAAGAGGGAAATATCATCTAAATATAATCATTCCTCTTTAGGGTGCTGGAGAGGCTGTGGCGTATTTAAAGCACATTATACACAAACAAATTTTAACACTTGTAAAATGATAAGACAAAATTGGACATAAGTAATTCAATATTAGAACAATTTTTTAAGAAACCAAATATAGTAAAGAGGCAAAATATAGTCTTGGGTATGAGACCTGTGTTACTTAATAAAGTTGGGTTATATTTATTAAGAATATTGAGAATTACAGCGCTTAAAGCAAACACAAAAATAGATCCCCAGTTGTAAATGATTGGTTACAGTTAGTTTCCAAAGTACATTCTATGGAGATGATAACATGAAATTAAGAGCAAAATAATACTTTTTTTGTCATGTTTTATTAGGTATTATGTCTTACAGGTGTAGTTAAAAGTGCATTATATAAATATGTGAAAACAAGTTACTTTTCATTTTGGAAATGTATAAATGTTTTTATCTATTTATTGGGTGTTTTGTTTTAGTTTTTTATTATCAATGGGATAGTTCTAGCCTGGCTAACCTCATTGAGACTTGGGTCTGGGAACCACATGTATATTTTCTCGTATTTGAGGCGTGGTTTACGAATGCCCAGAGCCGTTTATTGGGTGCTAAGAATGTCTATCAAATGCGCCTGTATGTAGCTCATAGCCAATCGTTTCAATTATTCCAGATGACGTGTGTAGAGCGACAGAAATTAGACGAGGAAGAAGACGATGGGTCAGAGATTTATGTGTACACGATGGCGTTCAGCCACTATTGCCGTTTGTGCAAGACAAACATGAGGGTAGAAGGTATATATGGACACTCTACAGACACGTTTTTATCGGGGGGAAAAAGTCGTCATCGTCTCGCTGCTCCCTCCCCGTTCTGTGATTGGTCCCCTCGCTGAGGCGAAAATCTTGTCCATGGAATCCAGGCTGCCTAGCAGCGTGGATAAAATCGCACTGCGCAAAGGCAGCATGGGGAAACCCAGGTTAGGATAGTTCACCAAAAATGAAAATTACCCCATGATTTACTCACACTCAAGCCATCCTAGGTGTATGACTCTTCTTTCAGATGAATACAGTCGGAGTTATATTAAAAAATGTCCTGGCTAATCCAAGCTTTATAATGGCAGTGAATTGAGGGTCTAGATTTTGAAGCCCAAAAAAAGTGCATCATAAAAGTAATCTATATGACTAGGCTGCATTTATTTGATTTAAAAATATATGTATATATATATATTTGAATATATTTTAAAATATAATTTATTTCTGTGATGCAAATCTGAGTTTTCAGCATCATTACTCCAGTCTTAAAGCGTCACATGATACTTCAGAAATCAAAAAATATTCATTAATTATTATTACCGGTGATGTTGAAAACAGTTGTGGACAATTTGTCCCCAAAAAACATTCTTTCTTCCCCCAAACTTTTGAACGGTAGTGTATAATGTTACAAAAGCTTTCTATTTCAGATAAATGCTGTTCTTTTGAAATTTCTATTCATCAAAGAATCCTGAAAACCATGTACTTAACAGTTTTTAACATTGATAATAATAAGAAATGTTTTTTTGAGCAGCAAATCAACATATTAGAATGATTTCTGAAGGATTATGTGACTGAAGACTGGAGTATTGATGCTGAAAATTCAGATTTGCATCACAGGAATAAATTACATTTATATATATATATATATATATATATATATATATATATATATATATATATATATATATATATATACACTCACCGGCCACTTTATTAGGTACACCTGTCCAACTGCTCGTTAACACTTAATTTCTAAGCAGCCAATCACATGGCGGCAACTCAGTGCATTTAGGCATGTAGACATGGTCAAGACAATCTCCTGCAGTTCAAACCGAGCATCAGTATGGGGAAGAAAGTTGATTTGAGTGACTTTGAACGTGGCATGATTGTTGGTGCCAGAAGGGCTGGTCTGAGTATTTCAGAAACTGCTAATCTACTGGGATTTTCACGCACAACCATCTCTAGGGTTTACAGAGAATGGTCCGAAAAAGAAAAAACATCCAGTGAGCGGCAGTTCTGTGGGCGGAAATGCCTTGTTGATGCCAGAGGTCAGAGGAGAATGGCCAGACTGGTTCGAGCTGATAGAAGGGCAACAGTGACTGAAATAACCACTCGTTACAACCGAGGTATGCAGCAAAGCATTTGTGAAGCCACAACACGCACAACCTTGAGGCGGATGGGCTACAACAGCAGAAGACTCCACCGGGTACCACTCATCTCCACTACAAATAGGAAAAAGAGGCTACAATTTGCAAGAGCTCACCGAAATTGAACAGTTGAAGACTGGAAAAATTTTGCCTGGTCTGATGAGTCTCGATTTCTGTTGAGACATTCAGATGTTAGAGTCAGAATTTGGCGTAAACAGAATGAGAACATGGAACCATCATGCCTTGTTACCACTGTGCAGGCTGGTGGTGGTGGTGTAATGGTGTGGGGGATGTTTTCCTGGCACACTTTAGGCCCCTTAGTGCCAATTGGGCATCGTTTAAATGCCACGGCCTACCTGAGCATTGTTTCTGACCATGTCCATCCCTTTATGGCCACCATGTACCCATCCTCTGATGGCTACTTCCACCATGTCACAAAGCTCTAATCATTTCAAATTGGTTTCTTGAACATGACAATGAGTTCACTGTACTAAAATGGCCTCCACAGTCACCAGATCTCAACCCAATAGAGCATCTTTGGGATGTGGTGGAACGGGAGATTCGCATCATGGATGTGCAGCCGACAAATCTGCGGCAACTGTGTGATGCCATCATGTCAATATGGACCAAACTCCCTGAGGAATGCTTCCAGCACCTTGTTGAATCTATGCCACGAAGAATTGAGGCAGTTCTGAAGGCAAAAGGGGGTCCAACCCGTTACTAGCATGGGGTACCTAATAAAGTGGCCGGTGAGTGTATATATATATAGATATAGATATAGATATAGATATATGTATATGTGTGTGTATGTGTATGTTCTGGTCAGAGTTATAATTATTTTTGTGTTCAAAAAAAGGCAGATCCAAGCATCGCTTCAGTGTTTCCTTGTCCAACGTTTTGAATGTCTCTTGTGACACTGTTGTCCTAAAGAGAATTTGGACACTTCCTCCACATGTATATTTGGGCAGTTCATCTGTTTCTGTCACACAGCTCTGGGAGTTCAGCTGATGCAGTACAGATTGTTAATCCAGTTTGAACTGGATGATGGGACTGACACATTAGAGGCTCTGCTGTGGGAGAACGCTGTGAGTATATCAATGCCATTTCATTAAATATCTGGAAAAAGTGCACATTTTGTCATTAGTATAAAATGACGACTTTTTGTTAAAAAGTTGTAAAACACACAAATATAGCTGTACATTACCTGATCAGCAGAGGGCGCCATTTTCTCTTTTGAAATAGGCTTTAGTGGTTTTCTCTCTGTCTTATTCTTTGCAGGAGAAGTTCTTCCATGTTTCTGCTATCGATGCTTCAGGCAGTCAGGATTTGCAGGACAAGATTCAGACCATCATCGACACAATTCAACCACCACAAAGCAGTTTGGGTAAAGATTTCATTCCTAATGATTTTCTTTTTCTTTACATTCCTTCAATATTTAGAGTAAGATAATGTCTTTTTTTCTGTATTTTCTTTGCAGAAGAACGTCCATGGCTGGATCTTTGCCTCTCTGTCTACACTGTAAAGGACAATGACAGAAATAATAAAGTTTGCTACCAGATCACTGACTCCGAAATCAGAGAGGAATAAAGAAGTTAAGTTAAAGACAGTTTGATTAAAAGTAAAATATCATAGACAGGCACCTGCAAAGAACAAGAAAAAATGAGTTGCTAGAAATCTTTTGTGTTAAAGGGATAATTTACCCAAAAATGACAATTTTGTCATTACTTTTTCACCCTCAAGTTGTTCCAAACCTGTATGAGTTTCTTTCTTCTATTGAACACAAAGGAAGATATTTTGAAGAATGTTGGTAACCACACAGTTGACGGCATCCATTGACTTCCATAGTAGGAAAAAAATACTATGGAAGTCAATGGGCTCCTTCAAATGTCTGGTTACCAACGTTCTTCAAAATATCTTCCTTTGTGTTCAACTGAAGAAAGAAACTCATACATGTTTGGAACAACTTAAGGGTGATTAAATGATGACAAAATTATTATTTTTGGGTGAACTATCCCTTTAAGAAATGTAAATATGTTTTATGGTCAAACACAATCAATTCATTCATCTATAAAATAAAGTATATTTCTATTTAGAATACATAACTACTTGTTCTGTTTGGACCTGTGTGTGGCATTATTTAACAAGCCATCTGGAGTGAAACTGATGAGCATTGACAGCAGGTGGTTGATGCTGGAAACAAAATGTCGTGGTGTTTCAGTCCACTAGGTGGCGCGTTCACTGTGTTGTATCTGTGAAAGCAGCGCCTCCCTGACAGAGCTTCATATTCTCAGAGATCCATCAGGAGATCATAAACGGCTCTCAAGGACTTTCACTTTATCGAGATGCTGGATGCTCGTTCCTTGACATCTATTTTTCCTCTTGTAAGAAACGCTTGGAAATATCTCTGCGGTTCAAGGGCTTCAACTAGCTTTGTTTTGTTTGGCTGAACACCTGTTTGACCTGCTGTTACAAAACTATTGATTTTAAAAAATGGAAACTAGCGATGTTCATCTAAAAGAGAGACCAGTGAGTGGGACGACGCTTGATGTTAATTCTACAAGTACGCCTTAAAATACTGGATTTATCAGGTTTGGATATTTTCAAGGGATATACTACTTACTGGAAAACGCAATGGAAATGCAATTTTTAACTGTATTTTGTTTGCTCATTAGTTGTGAACTCTCAGTAGTTCTCGCGAGTAGCAACAAAACGACTGATTTAACGTCAAAAATTGTTTCATCCTACAAAGTGCGTAAAGTTAACACAAACAGCCATGAACGACGTGTGACGTTAAATAAAATCCGTTATGATTTAATTTACCTCCTTGCTGGTAAGGAAACTACAGATGTGATTTCATTGGCCGGTACTACAAAACATTTAATGGTGAGCGCATCTTCCAGACAGAAGTACGAAAAAACTAATGTAATGGACAATAGCAACACAAAAACATTTCTGAGGGAAATAAACAGCGGGATTCATCGTCGACGAGAAAGAGCGACGGCGGGAGATGAAGGCATCGAATCTCCGGAGAATGAACTCGAGCGCGTGGAGTCACTGCCGAAGCATGTAGCACAGATCCAGCCTTCAGGCTTTCCTACTGATGTCACGTCTGTTCCTGAATGGGGCACCTCACCTGTGGAAGACTTTGAGGAAGTCTTCACTCCGTTCATTCCCCTTAACACACGACCAAAAACCCCTGGGGTGAAGAATCCGTTTTTCCCCGTGACAGGTGAATCGTATGGTGCATATGCTGTCATGTGCATCTCCATCGTCATTTTCACTGTGGGGATTGTTGGGAATATAGCAATCATGTGCATAGTGTGCCACAATTACTACATGAGAAGCATTTCAAACTCATTGCTGGCCAACCTCGCCCTGTGGGATTTTATCATCCTCTTTTTCTGCTTGCCACTTGTTATATTCCACGAACTCACTAAGGATTGGCTCCTTGGGGAAATCTCCTGTAAAATCATTCCATACATTGAGGTAAACGCCATATTGGATTAAGAGAACTGTGGTTGGTCACTTTCAATGGGTGATTGAAATGCAGTTATTTCTGTTACTTATATGTCAAATTGGTTAATAATTGAAAAATGTTTATGGTAGCTACATGGGGCAAGACTTCTAAAAAGAATCATTAAAATAAGATCATCTCTTGTGATCAGGTATAGCCCTAATTAACTTATCCAATCACACATTCAATGTATTTTTCCATTGCATCTGTTTAACGTGTTCATCCTAGGTCCTCTATGATATAAGGTGAGCTATAAGATTAAGGGTGGGTCAGACTCGTGATTGAGTGGGTCAGGTTCACCTGTAGAGCCGGACCTGGTTTCATGAATGAGTTTGACTTTAGTCTAGCAGGTTCTCAGACGTACAGTAAGCTACTTTTTCACCTGAAACTGGTTAAATTGCTGGTTTATCCTTGGTAAATTCACATGGGATTCACATGTAAATGCTTTCATCATTTTATACGTATTTATTTATTGCTTAGTGCTCAAGGAAGGTGTTAGTTTCCTTCAAATGCCTGGGCTACTAAACCGTACGTGTTAGGTCACTGAGTCAGGTAAGTTACTGTACTGTGTATTTGCTTAGCAAGATTTTTGCTACTGTTTCTCAGCCAAGACAGTTACTGACATGAAAGTGAAACGCCATTAACAGCTCTATAGCCTTTTTTTGTAGCAACGTTGAAATTGCAAAATACTTGCATTGCGTTATTAATTTATGTATTTGCGTAAAAAGCTACTCCATTCAGCGTCTGTCCAATTTCACAATGTAATTCCACAACACAAGATAATAACAATTTTTGACTTTTCTTTGCATTTGGGTCCGCTACCTATTCCAAAGACTTCTTGCATTAAAGCGCCAACATGATCAAACCAATAATCCTTAGACTAATGTTATCATATAACATACAGATTAAAGTGTTCTTCCAACATTCCTCAGTAACAAATTTTCAGAGCTGACTTGTTTGCCTTTTTATTAGATTATGCTTGAAAAATAATCTAAATGAAATATGCTGTTAAATTAACAAGAAGGCTGTGTGAAGGTGTCTAGTCAGAAATTCAATGCAAATGTTATGTGTAGGTCAGGACAGACATCTTTGTTGTGTTTTGTCTACTTGAGTAAGGGGGAGTGTCTCCGCTGCAGACACAAAGAGATAGTGGTATTGCCCTGAGGCTGCGTTCAGATTGTATCATGCGTTTCTGAGGAATTGACCTGATTGGTGCCATAGTTGTGGCTTTAATCTCCTGATACTACAGAGCGCAAATGCCTACACCCTTGATTCAGAACAACCCGCTTACTTGATCACAATGTTTCAACATAACAATGAAGTCTATGGCCCTAAATGGAAAGGCTGTGGTGTTTAGTGGGATTGAATTTCCTTACTGTTCCACACACTTAGGAGTTCAATACAAGTTGCGCTCAATCTATTAAAATTTCTTATGGTCAAAATTATGCCACAAATGCTTTCAGACTCATTCCTCCTTTTTCCTGAAATAAATGAATCAGAAATCGAGGTTACGGTATAAGGCACTTCAAATTTAAATGAAAAGTGACCATTTAAAAAAAAAAAAAAAATTAAGCATAAATCTGAAGCACTTATGTCAACTTTTATATTATATTCTGTTCTTATCCTTTTTACAGTAGCTTAAGGTGTTACGTCGACTCAAACTATTTTCGTCTTGTCGCTATACTATTGAAACGGTGAGTATTTTAATGCTTACAAATTGGCTTCATTCGCTTCCATTGCAAGTGCCTCAATGTAACCCAGATTTTTGCTGCTTTAAAAAAGAAAAAAGTCCAATTTTATTTTTTGGTAATCAACTTTGAGAAGTGCTGTCAATTAGGCTTAGCTTTAATTTCACCCGCAATGTTCCTTTAGGATCCCACCGCTGTTTCCAGGTTTGTCAGTGGAAGGGTTTTCTAAAAGTTTATAAGTAATGACCACGCATCCCCTTTACCTTGCAGGTGGCGTCTTTAGGAGTAACTACCTTCACTCTTTGTGCTTTGTGCATTGACCGTTTCCGTGCCGCGAGCAACGTCCAGATGTACTACGAGATGATCGAGAACTGCACCTCCACTGCAGCCAAGCTAATGGTGATTTGGATCGGCGCTCTGCTCCTCGCCCTGCCCGAGCTTCTAATCCGGCAGCTGGTGAGAGAGGACCGTGAGCCTCCGGAAGTGACGCCTTGCGAACACTGCGTGGTCCGAATCTCCACGGCTCTCCCGGACACGCTTTACGTCCTCGGACTCACCTACAACAGCGCTCGTCTCTGGTGGTACTTCGGCTGCTACTTCTGCCTTCCCACTCTCTTCACCATCATCAGCTCAGTGGTGACCGCACGCAAGATCCGCAAGGCCGAACGCGCCAGCGTCCGAGGCAACCGCAAGCAGATCCAATTGGAGAGCCAAATGAACTGCATTGTTGTTGCTCTGGCTATCCTATACGGATTTTGTGTCATTCCGGAGAACATCAGCAACATCGTATCGGTGTACATGGCTACAGGTGTGCCGCGTCGCACGCTGGATATCCTGCATCTGGTGAGTCAGATGATGCTGTTCTGCAAGTCCGCGGTTACACCGGTGCTGCTTCTGGCTCTCTGTCGGCCCTTCAGCAAAGCCTTTCTGGACTGCTGCTGCTGCTGCTTTGAGGAGTGCGGCCCACCAAAGTCCTCGGACCCCAACAGTGACGACAACGATCAGGACGGCACCACCGAGCTGGAGCTTTCACCCTACAGTACTGTAGGGTGCAGGGATCCATCTACCTTCCCAATAGCGGGAACTCACTGCTAAGGTTGTACCTTACCTAAGGGGTACACATTAGTTTTGTGCAGTTTCTGATTTTACTGTGCTTTGTTTTGGGAGAGATGCCCACAAACTGGATATTTTAACTTGTGATTATAGGGACAAAGAACATCCACACGTTTATTACAGAACACATTGTCTTAGAGATGCAACTGCCTATTGATGTTTACAGAAGACATGAGTACCATGTGTAGTTTCTTGGAAGTCTAGAAGGAGTATGGATTAACTCACATGCATTTGTTATATTTGCACAATTTTCTTACCCCAGTATCTTTTTCTTTTTTTTCTTTTTAATTTGGTGTATTTGTATTTTTGTTCAAAGTATCTCTGAGACTTACTGTACGGAAGGTAATATATAGAAAATGGCTGTTCATAGTATGTTTTGGTGTTGTGGAAATTGGCGATTCTTGTGAATCGATTTAACGTTAAGCCTAGCTCCCTTGCTATGTAAGTATTAAATTCACTCTGTATTTGCTAGCAGAAATACTTGTGATGCACTTCAGCCACTGAAAAGCACTGAAGACTCTGTTGTTTTAGCCAAGACATGTCACTTTTGAATAATAATAAAAAAAAAAACATTGAAATGTCTTACAGATAAAACTTGAGTGTTCTACTGAAACTGGACACGGTGTTTTCTATTTATTCAGATTATGTGATCTAACCAATCAGTATATCCTTTACCAATCAATTCTTCTCCAATGGCTGGTTCTTTCTTGATGGTGTTGGTTCACAGGCCTCTGGGTCATCAATGCCATACAGTACTCTAGTACACAGAGGCTTTTGTTTAAGGCCATGGCCAGTTCAGCATTAGGCATTCATGCTGCAGCGGATTCCATGACCTCACGGATAGAAGTGCGGACTGGATTGGGAGTGTAGGGAAAGATGTAGGAAGCCTGTTTGGCTTAACAAGACAGCTGGAGTTTCGTTATTGTGGTCTGGTTGTTTATTGGCCGTTTAGTATCAAAAGGAAAAGTGGACTTTTGCTCTGCTTTAGGATCAATCTCATCTCTTTTACTATACATTTAAGCTCAGCTCCAAAACCTAGTGCGCTGCCTTGCCGTCTACTTCCTACACAGGAAGTTTCCTTCCAAGGCAACATCCTAACAGAAATAGAATCTCATAAGTGACCAAATTAAAAGGATCTACAGAATGCAGAACGAGTTCACTCAAAAGAGACAACAGTTGTTAGCGTGTTGATATCAACATTTGACCATTCTGCCATCTTGAAAGTTTTTTTTCTTTTTCCACAGAGCATGTTACAATGCATTCTGGGATTTATTTCAGATCCAATTAAAAGTTTGGCCAACACAGAGTATCCTAGAAGGTGTTTTCTACCGTTTGGAACAGCATTCACATCAAGACCCTGATGATATGATATCTTAAGAATACACTACAGTTCAGAAAGAATTCAAGATTTTAGAAATTAATACTTTTGTTCAGAAGGGATGCTTTAAAGTCCTCCTGTAGTAAATCATTTTATCCCTTAAAACTCAACTTTGTTCACCAAAATGACATATTTAAACTTTTTTTTTCCTAGAAAAAAAAAAACCTCTACACCCTTGCCTTATTTAGTAGACGTGGTTCTATGAATATGCAACTTAGCCCCGCCCACTCACTCACACCGGCTCAGAGATCCACTCGTTGACGATCACACATTGACCAAGGTAGTTTTGTGACGTCAGAAACACCATCGATTTCAAACCTTTTGAAAAACCTAACCTTTTTTCACTGCAATTTTAAAGAAAATACTCAGCAATGGTGTTGACTTATGAATTTGCACATGGTTTGTCTTAAAACATATTAAAAACACCACATAGACATATAAACAACATTAAAGCTTGATTTTAACCACAGGGGGACTTTAAAGACTTTAACAGTAAAGAAACAGTAAAGAATTTTACGTTATTAGAAAAGATTTCTATATCACATAAATTCCTACAGTATGTGCACTTTCTACTGTGGATATTTGAAAAAATATTCAGGCTAATGTTGTTTTGAACCCCATTGATTTTAATGTATGGACAAAAACATTTGAAAGGACATTTTTCAATATTTTGTATCGCACAGAAGAAAGAACAATACAAGAGTGATAATATTGACAGCATTGTCTCCATCTTCTCTGTATAGTTTTCAATTGTTCCTAGCTTGACTTTTTAATCAAAATCTGTTTCTATCATAAAGAAGATTAGCTTGTATTTTATTTGAAGGCACTCGTGTTCAGTGATGACATTCTCATGCATATTTAAATAGATTGCATCATTCAGACCCACACTTTGGCCAAATACATTATTCATAGGCACCAACAAACAGTCATTCTTTTGAACGGCATGTCATATTAATATTTCATGAATGATGAGTGCTTCATGCCACTACGTTGTTGGCTCCCACAAGGACTAAATTCAGTTTTGTTTATTCTTACTTAACTGTTATCGCTTCTTATTAGGGCATCTTATTATAATTTCATCATTTCTTATACCATAATGAAGGTTTACTATAGCATTTGTTCATTTTGCCTGGTCTGGTTATGCACACTATCTTGTTTACGCTGATGGGAACAGTTTTATGTGTATAGGACACAATGGTACAAGACACTCCGCTTTTTAGCGTCTTTTCTAATTGGATCCATCTGATTGAGTGGATGCCGTTCACGGAAAAGAAGGGCTTTATTGTCTTGTTTTTCCTTTTGTGGAATTGTCCCTTATTTCTAGGTCACCGCCTGTGGTGAACGCTTGAATGCGTTAATGAGTTCCCTGTGAACTCTTCCCTGTGTGTGAGCGGCTCGTCTTTTGTCACACACACACTGTACTGCAGTCCCCCTCCTCGGCGGCCTTGTGAAGGGGAATTATGGGATTGTTGGCATTGCCAAATTGCTGTTTGTTGTAGGAGAACCTTCAAGTTTGTTTAAAGCTCCCTTTTGAAAAGCCTAATTGAGCTGTTCTGATGTTCACGCAACGGAAGCGCCCACATTCCCTCCCGTTGCCCCGTCATCAGCATTATCCTAAACCTTTGATTTGGTCCTCAGGGAAATCACAGCAATTGTGTCTTATGACAGTTTGACACTCTACATTACTTTAATATGCTCAGCCATTTTAATGTCATTTTGAGAATGAGCAAATTAAAATGAGCAGATTTTTTTTACATTTTATTTCCTGCTCAAAACTGGAAGATTATCCTTCGCAAAAAAAGGGGTTCTCAAACCTGTGGGATTGTGGAATTGTGCACCACATGACTATGTACGGGAAATTACCTCTGCTCATTACATAATGAGTGTCTCATTAATTATTAAATTCCTTTTATCTCGGCTTGGCAAAGTCATTTTCCCAGTAACAAATGCTTTAATTAAAGTACTATTAATATTTATAGGGATTAAGGGGCTATTGTAATTGCTATTTGCATATATAATTTAGAATTTATACAGTGGCACTAAAGCCTGAGACCACTGCACTCTTAAGAATAAAGGTTCTTTATTGGCATTGATGGTCAAAGAACCTTTAACATCCATGGAAACCTTTTATTACACAAAGGGTTATTTATAGTGGAAAAAAGGTCATAGATTACTCAAATGTTCTTTTGCAAACAGGAAAAACATGTTTTTTTAAGAACTGTCCACTGAAAGGTTCTTTTGGGAACCAACGATGGGTCTTAAGGCATCGCAGCGAGAACCTTCTTCTGGAACCTTTATTTTTTAACCCCCTAAACTACACCTTTTGTATTAAGCTTATAAAACAGTCATAATTATAATTATTTTAAACTAAAACCATATTGTATCTAATCAGTAATTTCTCATTAATGAGTGAAAGCGCAAAAGTTTTGAATGTTTTTACCATGCTATTGCTTAATTTACCCCCATTTTAACTCATTATGGAACTACAGCAAAAACAGTGTGATACAAGAAAAGATATATTTGTATCAATATTTAACCCCTTCCTAGACACCCTCATTTTGGCAAGTGGGGTATTAATGACATACCTAAAATAAAAAGGTTGCTGTTCATAAGTCATTCTGAATAGACACCCAACCAACATATATTTAGAAAGCCAACACTTGAGAGTTTACAGTTCAAGACTCAGAATTACTCAGACTCGTATTAATATGGAGATATATAAGCTCAAATATATATATATATATATATATTAAGAATATATTTTTAAATGTAAGTTTTGTTTGTATGTGGTATAACAACATGCTTCATTTCAAATCTGAGGACGATATCTCTAAAACTATGCATTTTATAAAGCATTTTCTAAGACCATGTTCATGTGAGTTTAAAGGGAAGGCTAATAAGATGCTAATAGAATATTTTATTGCCCTCTAAACACATCCAGTCTATTGTATAATGTCTGGCGAGGAGAATTCATCTTCTATTGTTCTCACTCAATGAACCTTTCACACCTCTGCCGGTGGTGTGCCAAATTTCGACTGCCACCCAAATTATTACCACCCTAGTTGAAGTTGCTACCTAATTTCCTAATCCTAACCCACAACTAATCCTAAACCTACCAATACTAAGGGGGTAATAATTTGGCACAACACCAGGACTCGACCACGGGTTGCCCGAAGTGCAACGGCACTAAACAGTATGCCATCGGCGCCGACAAAATTAGGTAACTAAGTACATTTAGAAAGTATTCTAATTTCATCTTTTATTTCGCTTCAATGCTTAAAAATAAAGATTCTTTGCTCTCTTTACGCTTGCAGTTCAACCTCAGGTCCACAAAACTGAAGGCTTTCAGACCTGTATTATGGTCTTATCTGAAAAATCCAGTTCACTTTAAATGTCAAATTAAATAGAAAATGTGCCGAAGCATATAATGGTCCACAGGACTGAACATGCACCCTGAATAGATGTTAATCAGCATTCTGAGTCACCAGTTAAAAACAACCACCAGACACAAATATTGTTCTTGAGGCGTTTAGCCATGTAGCGTTTATGCTAATGCTGTGCGTGTGCGTAAACAAGCATTTCATGAACCAGAAAAAAACAGTCAGTGCTTTTAAAGGGAAATTGATACAGTTGAAAAATGGAGG